AAAAAAAAAAGAGAGAGAGAGAGATAGAGAGAGAGAGAAGCATTCAAGCGCTACAGCGACGGCACACAGGGCGGGCGGGCCGACGGGCCACCGTTCCTACCCAGGGACAGTCTCTGACCACTCGGGAACCGCTGCAGACATTTTAGTTTCAGATGCACCACGGTCGTTTGCCTTTGGCCGGTGCAAACCTGCCCCCCGCTCCCCCCACACACACACACACACTCGGCCACAGGCTTTAAAAGGGCTCTCGTGTGCGTGCACTTCAAGTGCAACTGGACTCCGGGCCAGTGGCCACCCCGTTCCCTGGGGATCTGGTTAAAAGCAGCCTGGGTTGGGCGGGAGCGGCCTCGATGTCACCCGCTGGTTGACCCTCAGGTCGGAGCGGGGATTTGAGTGGCAGGAGGGCAGAAGTACATTGTTTTGAGGGACGCCAGGTAGTCTGTGACTTCAGGGACTGTCCCCAGCCCCGGGGCCTCCTGGGTAAGCCACCGAAGAGCATTTTGAAGGAAATCAGGCCGTGCCACCCGGCACAGCCAGCAGCGAGGGGGCGACAGGAAGTCTAACCCGGGGCTCTGGGTGTGGCTTTGTGGGCCCTGGCTACCATCCCCCACCTGCATCTTGTGGGTGGCAGGTTCCTGGGGGGCGGGGCGGGGAGAATGGAATGCAGAAAATGTGCACCGCCTGGTGACACTCTGGGCGCCTGGTTGGGCCCGGGACCCGCGCCCCTGCTGAAGGGACTGGGGGGCCAGCCGAGGTCTGGCAGATGGAGGCCCCCAAACCCACGTCCTCCGCACTCGGATCTGCGGTGCGTCCAGCGAATCAAGTCTTTGCCTACCGAGGCCCGGAATGCACGCAGGCACGCACATGTTTTTGCTTGCAGAGTGCATTCGGGTAGACGCAACGCGGGGAACGTGCAGGTCCAAACCCTTCTCGGTGGCTGCCCCCCGGTGGCTGTGATGGGACCTCGCCCACCCTGGGCTGGCCCGCATCCCCACCCCGGCCCCCATGCCCACCCCTTCCTATCCACAGCACCAGTGTGTTTTGCAACAAAGCCGCTTGCATCTGGGCGGATCTTAAAAAGGGGAGAAAAAAAAAAATTCTTTGGAAACCACATCCCAGTGGTTGACAGACTAGAAAAAAGCAAAATCCCCCGAAGCTGGGCATGAGCAGGATTGTTTTCTCGGGGTGAGGGAGCTCTGTCACAGCCAAGGAATGAGTCCCTCCCTGCCCCTAAGCCACTGAACACTTCTTACGGGGGATTAGGATACTCGGTGTCTTTGCAGGTGCGTGCACCTAAGCAATAATTGATAAACCAAGTTAAATGCACGCGCCAGTATGCGTATGTGTATTTTGCACATATAGGATGTATGCAATACGTACTGTTTTATATATGTGCAGAATATATGTAGTATTTTTTAAAAAAAACAAGAGTTGATATATGCCGGGCGCGGTGCCACATGCCT